AAGGCATCCCTTTCCTTAGGCAGATAGCCTTTATGTGCTTTGCCGTAATCAAATAAACCAAACCAAACCATGCTGCAAATGCACTGTACATTTACAGTATCCATGCCTTCTGTGGGATGTGAACCTGGACCTTTCAGTACAGTAGTCAGGTTACTAACCACTATCCCTTTGGGGAGCGAATGGGAAAACTTCTTGCACTCTAAAGATCATCATGTTTTTGTAAATTAAAACTTACTAATGCTAAAATTGCATATTAATTATAATCAGAAGAGAATACTTGTTTTTTATCTGGAAAAAAATTAGCACCTCTCAAAAAATTAATTTGAAAACTATAAAGACATGCTTCTCTCAATTCAGAGCAAAACAGTAAGAATTATTTATCTAAGCTTATAATAACCATCTTACTTATCTTGCAAAGTTCTTGCTATTGTTATTGAAACTTTTCTTTTTAATTGAAAACTATTATATCATTTTTAAAATAATGTAAATTTGCATCTGGAGCTAATAAAATTTCTCAGTTCTAATGAATGGCTCCAAATGATATCAAGTTTGACTGCTATTGCCATATTAAAATAGATCTAGTGACCTAACATTTGAAGAATTATTTGTAGGTGTTTCTTAATCAAACGCACTTCATGTTTATAAGCATTATCATCCATAAATATGAAATCTGACCATTGTAAGCATTAAGTAGATGAACTTGTAAGTATATAATATCATTATTAGATTGCATTTATTTGATTCTCCAGAAATCAAAGTTCTTGGACTACCATATTTCCCAGCCTATAAGATGCACTGTGATTTATGAGAAATATTTGGATCAGAGAAAAGGATCAAACTACCTATTTTAATAACACTTTATACAACAAGACATTGAACTTTTATATTAAAAAATTAGCAAATATATCAGCATTTATTCATTGTAGAATTTTGGAAATTCATCATCACTGCTACTAAATCATATGTGCAGTTATTTTCATTTTGGTTGTCACTGTCCCTGGATTTTTCACTTTTTTCTTCACAATGTTATCTTCACATCCATCTAGTGTGTAACTAATTCCACACTTTTTCAGTGTCACTTTCTGCCAGGACTTTTTCACCCACTCGCAAACACTAGAAATTGATGGCATTTCATTCTTCTTGGTGTGACATCATGAGTTGGTTCTAGAATCTAGTTATCTCCTCTTAAAGCAAAAATCCCTTGAATAATTTATTGAATGAAGCATCTCCAGAGGCTGCAATTGAGGTGTCAATCTACTAGGAATCACAGCAAGATGTGTCTTCAATTCAGTAGCAAGAATTTTTGCCGACTGCATTACATGTGCCTTAAACTTTTCGCATACTAATAAAGATGATTTCTTCAGTAGTCTACTTGGACACCTGTACCACAGCTTCATACCTTCTCCATACATCCATTCACCATCTTTTGGAATGAACATGAATATAGATTCCATGTAGAATTGTACATTTAGGGCAGTGTTTTTCATTTAAAGATTAACAAAAGAGCGATTTTTAAACTGTCAGTGCAACATGCAAGAGCAGCTGCTGTATAGTCTGTCTTCTCATTAACATAAATCTTTATCATTACTGTCTTGGCACCTTTAGCACCCATTGTTCTATTTGATGGCATGTCAAATGTCAGTGGTACCTCATATAAGTTTCCTGTTTGTCCTATCTCAAGACACATCTTTTTCTCAAGTTTATGACATATTTATAGAATTCTATAATCGTTGTTTTGTACTGAAGTAGCGGTTTTTGTACTATTATAGAGTTTTGGTATTCATGCATGAACCATTTCTCTTTGTGAATCTCTCCCACCTTGAAATAGTCCCAGAAAAATCGGCATTAAACATATCTATCATTAATTTTCTCGACTCGATTAAAATCATTTTTGTTGAAACTATAATCGTGTTCTTCGCGAGATTTATTATCCATTTCTTAATATTTTCCTCAAACTTTTGTCATTAAAAACACATGAATATAAGTTCTTTCCTACATTTCCTAAATCCGTCTTCTACTTCCTCCATTCTCGTATAATTTTCTCAATCGGAGATGGGCTAAGATGCCTTCAGCTACTCTATTTCCATGCTGTGAAGCATAATTCATGAACTTTAAATCCTATACTACATGACAGTCTTCTCTTTTGAGATCCCATGAAGGTACTCTAATTCTATTTATGCAACACTTAGTATCTTTGTGTAAAAGCAGATTTGAGTACTAAAGAGAAAGGAACATGTTACTCATAGATGACGCTACTTAAATTTAACTAACTGTAGGCTCCTGTTTATTGCAAGAAATATTCCAATGAAATAATCACCAAGATGCTTTCATTTTGAGCTACCAGAAATTAGTCAACCAGAAAAGCCCTTTTGTTTTAAAGCACCAAATACAAAGTAAACAAATATGAGTTGTATAAAACATGGCTGCTCTTGTACATTATTCCTTGTATTTAAAAGGTTATAATAAAAAAAAAGAATTCAAATGTAAGTTGGGGTAAAGTGAGTAACAGTGCAGAAAGATAGAAAAAGGTTAGATGGCTTTGAAAGCGAAATTGCTTCCTTACCACTCCTGCGATTGATTGTTGTAGTACATTCTTAGTATTGATGTACCATGATTTCGAGTGAGAAGTAGTGCTGTTTATTTTTTATTAATTTATATTTGATGTGTACATACTAAACTTTTTATAATTTTATCTATTTTACAAAAATGAGGCATCTGAAAGCAGTTCTGCCTTTTCCCAAAATATGTGCTACAAATCTATTTTTTAAGCTACTTTCGTAGTCATGACCCATGCCCTAACATGCGAGATGAAACTAAACTATATCGTATACATATATGATTTATTTGGGAATTTTTTTTAGGAAGTACTGTCACGGAGATATTAAAACTATTTCTTTCTACTGGTTCAAAATGGTGTTGTCGGCATTTGTAATAAAGGCAACATTTTCTGTACCTGATGAGGGAAAAATATTGAAGGGTATTTTTCTGTTCTGGCTACAGCCTCTTCAGTCTAAAAAGCTCACTATGACTATGTGGTGCGAAATAATGACAACATTTGTCATTGATCCATTGCACCATGCACTGGCAAGCGGTGTGAAGCACTTTTGCATAACAGTGTCCTTCCCACACTTCAGCAGGGTCAGTATGTGGATCACACTATTCCCTCAAGATAGTGCTCCTCCACACATTCTACTCATGTGAAGCAGCTGCTGATTGCTCATTTCAGAGATGATAGAATCGTAAGCCACCATTTTTCAACAGTGTGGCCGCCACTTTCCAGTGATTTAAACACGTTTGATTTTTTGGCTTTGGGAATACCCAAATAATGTTTTTTACAGTGGACAGATTGCAAAGCTGGCCGACTTGGAGGCAAGCATCATGCACCACTTTGATAGCATCAGCACAGACATCCTCCAATCTGTTGTGGAACATGCTGTTTTGCACTTCCAGCTAGTAGCAGAACAAGGCCTATATGTTGGTCATCCATAAGCTGTTTTTTCATGAAGCTCTTCTTTTTCTCTAGTCACTATCACTGTTTTCATTGTAAGCACGTATTCATGTCTTTTTGCTAATAAATTTATAGTAAACTCTTAGGGTCTTTTGTTTCCTTTCGGTTAACAGCATTTCTGTATTCAGCGAATCCATTTAGGCCTTACCCATGACAGCCTCTTCTATCGGCACAATGTGGAACTATTTTTTTTTTTTTTTTCCTTCGCCAAACAAAATTTCTTTGCATCACAATTGTTCTGGTAAACTCTCAAGTCATTCTGACCGGTAGTTTTAAAGAAAGAGAGTTTTAGAATTTTCATCTCTAATTATAATCACCCTTTATATTATCTTATCAGATTCTGTTATAGTGTCTTCTCCCATCCACTGCATTTTATTAGTTAGATGGTTCTTTCATCTGATATAGCTAGTGCACATTTTATACAACCTTCAAGCTTTGAGAATTAATTTTAATAACAAATAATGAGCTAAATACTGCAGCTCTTTAGACTTCATTAGATTGCAAGACCACTATTTTTGTGAATTCTTTTTTCTTTTTTGAAAAACTATTTTATATCACACATAAATTTTCTTTATGAATTTAATAGTTAAATCTGATATGATGATGTTATTTATTCGTTATTTTTTAACAGGTGAGAGTATTCACACTTTGATAACCTATATGTTTATTTCAATGTATTATTTTCCCACATGCAGCTTTTGGGATGACTGGATTCGTCAGCCAGCCCAGAGAAAGGAACGAGCATGTATCCGCCCAGAGCTGTCTCGTACTAAAACATTTGGCAAAGTTGGTGTGAGCAAGTATGAAGTAATTTTTTTAGGGGGGGGGGAAGGTGAAAGATATTAAAGATGAATTAGTTTTACAGCATTATAAAAAAAATTAAGACATAATTCTTTTGATCATCAAGTCAAATATGTGTTGATCATCAATTAATTTTTCATACCTGTAATTTTGTAAGTACAAGAGGAATGTAGTGTATAAATTAGCATCTCAATAATAAAAATACAGATATATGAAATTGGCTTCAAATTTAAAATAATTATAGTATTTAATTTTGTGATTGATTAAAATATAGTTTTTTTAAGTATTGTAATTAAATAAGATTGACCCTATGCATTGAAATCATTTAGAGGATTATTTTATAGTTTGTTTTATTATTAGTGTTATGCAAATTGCATGTAAATATTCTAATTTTGATTGAATATTATATTTGAAGTGTTTAAATTTATTCACTTCAAATTTATGGTAAATCCTAAATTTTGTGCATACTGTGTTATATTTTTAAATCAAAAGAAAAATTATATACATGTAGGTTTTACTTTTAAAACATGCACATAGAGCACAGATATTGCATTTTAAATGCTTTTATTTTACTAATAAGAAATAGATAAAAGTAATGAAGGGTAAGTTAAGTAAAAATTAATGTTGCAGGATTCGTGTAATGATGAACATTTCACACACATTATTAGTTCCACCGGCGTTGATAGAATATGTTATCCTCTTAACATCCACAACTAGCTTTATATAATATGATCAGCTTGGTTAAAGTAACTTAAAAAAGGAAACCTTCCGTTTCCTACAACTGTTGGAGGACAAGCAAGCCATCTGCTACTCTCCACTCTCTTCAACGTCTGGCCGCTATCTGGCCTTGTCTTAACTGCTCCGCACTGCGCTAAGCTGGGATGACATCACCACGTTGGTATTCTAATTCAGCATCCGTCGTCGATGATCTCCACATACATGTAGCAGAATAAAAACAGCATAATTATGTATCCAGTTTTCTAAAATCTATTGAGATTCCATATATATAATTGACTAACTCACAAAAACTGATTTGTTAGCACAGAAATGGCAATAATTATATATAGGATGAGTCAAAAATATGGCTATCTCTCTACTCATTTAATCACATCATGTGAAAGCAGTATTATGGCTAAAGAAAATGAAATTGTTCCATTGGAAGATCAGGTCTTCAATTTGAAAGGTGCTAACTTTATCGCCTCAAACTGCTCTCCAATTCAAATCCTTCCATTCCATAACCATGTTGATGCATCAGTCCTACTGTGAATCCTTTCAGAAGATTTTCTTTTCTAAATATGTATCATTATAAGTGTATCCACCTTTCTCACAGTCAGTGACAACAGTGCTTCTTTAAAATCTTGTGTATTCAGTTTCACAGTCTCAGTTGCTCTCTAGACTCTGATCCAAGTAATGCTTGATCATTGCCAAGTGATTAACTTGGATAATCTAGGTGGTGTGATGGCTACAAATGGAAACATGGATGTTCCAACAGCTGCATCTCAAACACCATCATGGCTGATGAAAGAGAATGTCTGTTTGAAATGAAAAAAAGGAATTTTTATATTTAGTATACTGTTGATCATTTGGTTTCCTATAATATATAACAACACATTATGTTTACTTTAAACATATAACTATATTTTTGACTCACTCTGTGTTTAGGTACCAGGTTGCATGGAAGTAGTTATATCATATTTAAAGCAATGCAAATGCAAAAACAAGGTGATATGTGACTGTAACAGGCTTTGCACATAAAGGGAACATCAAGAATTAACATGCAAAAGTAGTGAGTGTTGGCTGGATTCTTCTGGCTAAATACATATTATTGAATGACTGAAAAGAATAACTGGCTGATTCACTCTGAAGCAGCATGTATAATGCATGTGTTTTTACCAGCAGCTGCATAAACTAAAAAGGCAGATGGCTGGATCATCTAGATCTTGCTTGGAAATAAATGCTAACTAAAGAAAACTTCACACTGTTTTGATCTGTAATAAAACAGAAGCCTGTAAAATGGGAGAAGTGGCTAATCAGAACAACTGACCACATCTGATGCAACATTCACAACATAAACTGAATCATTCATCATAGAAACCAAAATTTTTGTAACAGCTATCAAGGCAGTCATTACAGAGGATTATGAAAGTCCTCTGTAATAACTCCTTTGTCCATACTCAACTCTTTAACATTGTCAGTTCTTAAACGGGTTAAGTGAAGCTGGTATAGATGGACGTGTTCAGTTTGTTGAAATGTATCTTGATAATATTTAATAGTTATTTTGATTTGAATGTGTGAAGCAGTATTTCACATATCTGGAGGCATTAACAGATATAATGCTATCTATTGAAAAATTAAAACTCAGTAGTGACAACAGAAAATGAATAACGGCAGTCCAAGTATTAGTAGATTGGGGTAAAATTTTGTATAATGAAGTAAAAAATCAATTCTTTGCAAATGTATCTGTGATAGCTGCAAATTTCTTGGATCTGTTATAAAACAGTGTTTATCTCATCATCCAACAATGGGATATTTTCCAGAACATATGTACTTGCAGGATAAGGTGCCACCAAATTACACATTCTGTGTTCTTGAATGGTTAAACCAAACTCTTTCATACCGTTGAATCAAAAGATGTGGTCTCATGAAATAATTGACTTACTGTAAAGTTGACATGGCAGATTTTTTAATTTTTTTTTTTTTTCCCAAAAATCGAGCATTTGAAATGGGAATCGCTGACGAATGCTACATTCCAGTTGAATTATTTACTAATACATACAAATTTGTTATCTGTAATTTTCAAATGTGCCTTGGCCTTGAGAGCAAAATGGTTATAAATCTATATTTGTTAGTTATTTTTAAAGTTAGTTATTTTTAAAACTATAACTTATATTTACTACTGTTATGAATTATATTTTTCACCAATTTTTTGAGCCATTGGATTAAATATAACTGCATTTTAAATATTTCCACCTTGCATGTGTAATTATATCATATATAGAATTTAATCAGTGAGGTATGAAAAATGTTAAGCATACTGATGTGTTATATGTAGAATTTTTAAACAAATAAATCAATATTATGTTAATATATAATGTTGCTGTTTCTTTAAAAAATTTTTATAGTTACTCAAAATTAGGTGATGAGAAAATGAGATATTTTTGAAGTCGTACTTTAGCAAGTAAATTGTTTATAAAGTGATATGTAAGGCCAAAACATTTTCTTAAAAAGTAAATTTCATATTTATATAATTATGTGGATATTATTGTGGATAAACATTTTAAGAGTCATAAGTAAAACACAGCAATTGCTTTTTGTTGATATTTAAATTCATATAAATAAAAGTACTTTTCCATGTTTCACCATAGGCATTTTTAAACTATCTTTTCAGTGGCCTTTTTTATGAAAAGCATCTTAAATTCATCAAACTAAATGATAAAGCTGTGCCTTTTACCAAAATGGATCTCAATTATTTAAAAAAAGTAAGTCTTTTAGATATTATACGTCACTTATTTTTTAAAGCAATAAATGTACCCCTGCTAAGATAACCACATTTCTAGATGATTAATGTCATCAATGGAAGTAATTTACTATACAGAATATGACTGCTGGTAATATTCAGTATTGTTATGTAATTATAGTCTCAAGTATGTAGTTTATTTTTCAAAGGTGGTTATTTTAGATTTGGTTAAAGCTGTATGTTCAGTTGACTCATAGCTTTTTTGCCCCAGATTGCTCAATGCTGGAACAAATTAAACTCGTATCTCAAAGTTCTACTGTAGTTAATATGTCATTTTCTTTTAGTCCAAATAAATGCCCTGGTAACATCACTTCGTTTAAGTAATGCAGTTCTTCATATCAGTCCTGATATGCTTACGTCAAATCTGATGGTAAGGTTTATCCGAGCTCTGCCTTCTCTTCCCTATTTCTTAAAGTATCATTTTTGCTCTAATTGTGAATGGAGAAATAAGTCCAGTTTGTCAAATAGCCTTCCAGCAGTTCTTATCACACCTCTTTTCAATGATTTGAATTTATATACATTGTTCGTATTAATCAGTTTCGCCATTTACTCATGTTAAATCCAGCTTCTCCTAAAACGAACTTCATCTGCCAATGTACTTCAAAAGCAGTTTCTTTATCTTGTAGACTATAATTAACATATAATTTGGAATGCAGCCGGATAATGTCTTTCGTACTTGTTTGTGGTGTTTCAATGTTGCATTCAGCAAGAATGGAATAGATCAAAACTAACCCACGTCATTCGTAGTACTTCTGGTTCCATGCTCATTTGTTCAATCATTCTTGATTCACAGAAATCTGTCAGCATTTTGTCTTCCTGTGCTAATGCTATCTTGCAAGAATGCACTTGCAGTATCAGCTGTCAAGGCGACCCTTTTCAATCTAAATTGCAAAAGTAAGACTAACAAATCTGGCATTAAATTCGGACCAGGTTTCAAGGAATTGTTATGGGAAATGGAGCTTATTGCACTAGAAGGTGCATTAAAAACAACTGTCCTTTTTGTAGTTAATTATCTTAATTAGTACTTGATGAGACATATAATAAAGTTTAATTTTATTTTCAGACATACTGGAATCAACTTTCTGGGCTGTTCCTTCTGCAACATGCTTCAAAATAATTTCCTTATAATGATTAAGAAAGGAAGGATTTCTCTTAAATTTTTTAACTAATTTTTGAAAACATCCTTCAGCATTGGCAAAATTATCTGATAAAGATTTAGCATTTTCATTCCACAAAAGACTGACTTCGTAGGGACTATCAATAATTTTTATTGAGCTTTCAAGTTTCCCTAAAAGCTCATCATCTTTTCAATTATCATTGCATGCGATTCCCAAACTTTTTAAATCAAGTATTTTCTTTCAAATCAAATATTTCTCGGTTTTCGTTTTGAATGGTAGTCTTCATTACTTTAACTTCCTTAGGGTTTGATCTGATTGAGGCCTCCGATCCTTTGAACACACATACAAGTTTCATTTCCATTCCCACTAAAATTCCTGTTATTCATGTTATTTTCCCAGTAATGATGTTCCAAAAATTATCGAAACCAATTAACGGTGATATTAAGTTTTCAGAATCTGGCTCATTGGCCATTTGTATTTTCATCATCAATAATCACTAATTTCTTTACTGTGTCCTTTAACTATTGCTTCACAAAGTTTCAATAGTTTCTAAAGTTATTTCCTTCGAATTATAAACACTTCTCAAGTTTACCTTCACTCGAGTACGAAACTCTAGAGGGTTCATTCTATACATCAATTTTACTTTCATTTTCATGTTTATGTTTCAAGTACCCTTCTAGTTTCGATTTGAAACTCTTAATCCTTTTGCTACATTTTGGAGTTGTCAGAACATCAGCTTCAAATATATCTAAATCACTAATAATGCTTTATGTGATAGAATCCAGCTGATAGATCTGATTAGTTTTTTCTTCTGATTGATGTTTTAAATCATCATAATTAATGTCGTTCCCATTTAATATGTCACTAATTTTTTTCACTATTTTAGTTAAAGAAGTTCAAATAGTTTTTCTTTTACACTTTAACTTTTTTAATCCACTAGGTTGTGTCATTTTCAATTACGAAAGCTCCCAATTATTGTACCATTAAAACAGAGAGAGAATCAGTTCAATAAGATAAAGTTCTTACCTGGTTCGTTATCTCTTTAGCTTCTCAGACAGTAATTGAAGATATTTTGTATATTAATCCTTTGTAGACACAATATAATGAGGGACAACTTGCATACATGTATCTACATTCTATAAAACTAACAAATCATAAAACAGTTCTGGGATATCAATGCCATCTATGGGCTAAAGTTTGCAACAGTTTCAAAGAAAAAGTAAAGTGACAAGAAAAGGCATTTTGCTGGAAGTTAAAATGCAAGGTACTCGGATGATAAGATGCAGGTAAATGGTTAATAAAACTGATGGAGAAGGTAAGCAATCCATTAGAGATTTTTGGAAAGATGGCAATATCATGGATTCTATAGACAATATCAATCTTTGACCGAGAAATGTTTGAAATGAATGTATGGTTGAAGCTAAACAAAATGTTGACACAAAAGGATCAATTGTTGATTTTGATGAAATTGTCAAGAAACAGGGTTGGATAGTATGAATGTACAGGATATTAAAGAACTGTTGCAAATTACAACTGGTGAAAGTTTTTCTAACAATGATCTTAAAGAATTAGTAGTGCACAAAAATGATGAAATTAGCAATTCTGAAGGTTAGCAATTGAAGGAAGTACCTTTCTTATCAAAAGCAAAACTTCTTTACTCTTTTATTTTTTATATTTTCAGTGTTTTATGAATAAAAATTATTATTATCATTAAATCTGTAGTTAATGCAATAAGAAGTATTTAACAATAAGTGTTATGAAATATACAAAAAGAGATTGATGAGTTTTCTTATTCTCTGTTCTATATTACTTATACCCATTATTTATCTTTGAGATGACCTTGATTAGCATAGGAACTTGCTGAAGCATATCCGCTACGTTTTAAATGAGGTTTTACTGTACGTACCAAATTCTCTCTTTCGAATTTCTGAGAATGGGAGCTCTTGAGACACATAAAAATATTTATATTTCAAGAGGGGACTGATTATTTAAAATGTAGATAATTGTTCAAGCTTGCATGCATACATTCATTTTTATATTTACTTCAATATTTTCATTCAATTTTAGTGACTTCAGATGATCAGATTCTGAAAATTTGTGTGAAAATTAGTCCTTAAATGTTCCTGTAGTTTTCTTTATGAAATGTAGGGAAATATAGCTATTAATGTTTATTAAATTCTTCAGCAAATTTGATGAATTTCATAAAAAATTTCTAGTTTTATAACAGTTTTATTTTTTAAGGACTTCTATGATGTTGCATTTGTGAAACAAATATATGGTGCCCCTTCTGTAACTTTGCATCAGCTGCAGAGAGGAAGCATCGATCACTCTGAACCTGTTCGTATTACTTATGAAAATAAAGACGTTTTTAAGAAAAGTGCTAAAGCTCTTGGCCTTATGGATGATTTTAAGGTAAAATATATTTTGTTTTGTAGTTTCATTATTTGTGTACATAATGACAGATTTCACACTTGGTAGTAAACTTTCAAAATTTCATTATTGATATTTTGTCTTCATCAGAATTGATCTTAGTCAATGATATTCATGTCAGCCATTTGACCATTGCTTAACTATTAAAAATAAGTGTTGATTAATTTTTCTTATACATTTTTAAAAACTTTTGTTTTTTGGTTTTAAATAATAAAATTTTAATTGCTCAAGTTCAACAGAATCAATAAATTATTTCAGCAAAGTCCAGCTGCGTTTGAGGCAGGGAAATTTAATCCAGACAGCATTGTAATTGTATACAAGCTAACATTTTACTGCTACTTCTGCATCAAAAACACTTTTTTTTTTTTTTTTTTTTTTTTACCAGAACATAAGAAGGGGCAATTGTAATGTGCATATTATCTTAAACTAACAGTAGTGATATTCAATATTCATGTGTACCAATCACCTTTAGGGTATAACTTGTAAATAATTTCATAGGCCAAAGGTTCTAATCAGGAACGTTTTAAAAATATGAAAACATATGTCGAAAACCAACCTGAAGATCCATTTTTTAGTTCTCTGATCTTAATATAGTACTAGAAAAAAAAAAGAAATTATGCCACATCACATTTTAGAATTATGTAATGTGAGCAGAAAAGTCCATATTTATACATCTGTGTTTTTTTTTTTTTTTTTTTTTTTTTTTTTAATGTAAGGAGTAAAAAAAAAAATAATTGGAGGAAATTTAAAAACTGCTTAACTTTTCTGATTATCCAATGGTAAACTAAGTTATGAGTTAAATACCAGAGTTAGAATTAAGATATCTGTTACAATGATCAACATTTGCACATTTCAATATTTGGATTCATAGATGATTATAGTGAAGTAAATTTTGACAATCCCCTTGTGTTTTTGTTGAACATATATTATTTTAAAAGTTTATGTAGAGCTCTGGGAGCTTCAGGAGACTCAGAGGAGCACATTGCTAAATATGTATCTAATTTGTGAGCATCCTTTTTTTTTTTTTTTTGTGTTGTTTTGTTCTGAGCTTGAGATTCTGTTGCTGAATGTATTCGTGCCCGCATTGATAGTGCTTTGAACTTGTATTGATTTATGTAAACTATTCAAAAAAGTGTTTAATTGCATTTTGTTATAATGGAGCTGGTATAAATGTTTTGAAAAAAATTCGGAGTTGCGATCACTTTTAAAAAAATTTCCTAATGTTGTAATTTGACACTATATAGGTTATTGTGTAATAGTTAGCATTAAAAGATTTGATAAAATATGTTAACAAAATAGATAATTTTGAAATATTTCTTGATAAATTATTTGCTTGTGTTTTTCACCAGTCCATCTAAAATCTGTAATAATTAAATGAAACTGGTAAAGATCTAAATGTCAAAATACTAAAAATCGGATATGTGTTTGGAACCTTAGGAGCAGTATGCATTTATGAATGGGTTTTGCACTGAATAATAAATACAAGATGTCCATAATTTTATCACAAGATAGCAAAATTAAATTGAAACATAATTTTATGAAGCATTCTCTTATTATGGAAAATGAAATCTCCAAAAAGAGTTCAGAGGCAATCTGACATGAATTTAATAAAACCTCCTCTACTAACAGAACAGTAAAAAAAAAAAGTAGTTTTGAAAAACCAGACAGGTTTTGCATGAAGGATGTTCAAGCAGACAAGCATCAGTGATGAAAGTATTCCTGCAATTCAAGATTGTCAGCCTGCATCAGGAATTCTCAGGTCGATTAGATATAAATTGATATAAAACTGTATACGTATAAATTGCAGATTTGTCAAAAAATCAAACCTAATGATCAAGTCGTTCAGAAAGAATTTTCTGTAGACATTCTTGACCCAGAATTACCAACTCTCCCGATTTTCGACCGCTCTCCCGCCAACCGATTTACAATATATCCCGACTTTTTCTTATTCTTAAAATTTCTCGCGATTTTTATGGAACTTAGCTTAATACTTCATTATATGAACATATCAAAAAAAGGGATTTTGGATGTCTGAAAGCAATTGAATTTTCTCTAGATTATATCTAAAACAAAACCCTGCGAGTTAGATAACTTCTGCTTTGCGAGTGAGAGCATATACGTATCCAGAAACATCGTTCTCCAGTTCTCCAATGGGCATCTTGCTCCACTGCGTGTCATCTGGCATATATTAGCCGATGAGGACAAAGCAAGCTGTTATTTGGATGTTATTTAGTTATTTCGATCATTTTGTCCTGAGTTGTGTGAGTACACGTGCCTTCGGTTTTAGAAGTTTTAAAAGTACTATAGTTTTAGAAATTATCATCTTTTGTTATGTCTGCGAGAAAGGTGAAATACTCGTGTACATTTCAAAAATCGTACACAGTTGACTTTCCTTCCATTATTTCCTCAAGGAAATGTAATAAATTTGCGATGTGTACCGCCTGTCGTTGCAATTTTTTGATTTCACATGGTGGAAGGGCGGATGTTCTCAAACATGTGCGTACACAAAAGCACAAGGACAACATGAGTTGTTTTGAAAAAAAACGAAAAATTAAATTTTTTAAAATTTTTCTTCGGAAACAAAGGACCAAAAAAGTTATTAAGGCAGAATGTCTGTTCTCTGCCTCTTTACTGGAGCACAACCTGCCACTGAATGCATCGGATCACGTTGCAGCTTTATTTAGAAAAATGTTTCCCGATAGCGAAATCACTAAGAAATGCTCAAGTACAATAACCAAAACAGGTGCAATTGTTAAAGAAAGGGATTTGAAAAATAAATCTTCAGTTATTGATTGCATTAAAACAGCTCCATTCTGCCTCTCTACGGATGGAAGCAATAATACCTATTCAAAACTGTATCCAATTGTTGTTTCTTTTTTTAATCCAGAGTCTTCAGAAATTTAGTGTAGTTTACTTTCTGTCCCCACTTTAGAAGGACATTTGACAGGCTTTAATATAGCACAGCTAATTATTAAAGCTTTAAAAGAAAATGCAGTCCCAATGGATTATTGGCACTTCACTTGGTGCCAATAATGCACTAGTATTGGTAGGCTTGAAGACTGGTGTTGCAGGCATCTTAAGAAAGAAAAATTCAGATTTGCAGATTATGAAGTGCACCTGTCACCTCTTAAATTTAGCAGCTGAAAAAGGGGCAGCTTCTTTACCAATAAATGTGGATGAACGCATTGTTGATATTTATTATTATCTTGAAAGGAATTCTAAAAGGAAGAAAAAATTGAAACCAACAGCTGCATGAATACAACAGCAACAATAAATGTGGATGAACACATTGTTGATATTTTATTATTATCTTGAAAGGAATTCTAAAAGGAAGGAAAAATTGAAGCCCACAGCAACAGCTGAAGAATTTAAAAAACCAAACTTGGATCCTGTCCTTAAATCCAAACTTGGATGAAGTTATAAAATCAGCTAGGATTGACACCCAGTGGAGTTTAATTGGAAAACTGAAAGATGCTGGATGATGGAATTTAAAAATATAGTAAACTGTCTAGAATTATGTTGGCCATCTTGACAGTTTCCCATAGTAATGCAGAGTGTGAGGGGATTTTCAGTGTTGTTGCAAAAACGATAACTAAATTTAGATCTAATATTAGTGATGACACATTAGAAAAACTTTCATTAGCAAAAGCAGGCCTACGTAGCAATTGCTATGAACAAAATTATGAAGTTTCTTTCTTAAAGAAAGCAAAATCTGCCACTGTTTATAACATTTGTACAAAAACTGATTAAAGTCCCCCCCCCCCCCCCGTCTTTTAAACGATGAAAGTAATAAAAATGTTTTTTATGTGTAAGGTATTTTTGTATTGCTTGCATTTAAGAATTAGTTACTATTTAAAGTTAATTCATTATTAAAAACTGTATCATTTAAAAAGTCTTTTTAACATTGTGAAAAATCTCCTGATTTTTTTAGTGTCATAGGTTGGTGTTGATTCATCACTGAATACAATTTTCTGAAAAATTAATCATCATTACTAATATCTTCAATGACCATATTACTAATGATGATCAGTTTCTTCAGAAACTTGTATTCGGTGATGAATTAACATTTCATGTTTGAGGAAAGCTTAATTTACATAACTGCAGGATTTGAGTATCAGGAAACACATATTTTGTAAGGAGAATAGAATAAGGTTGCCTTTAAATTAATATTTGATGCTACTTGATTCATAACAAAGTGATTGGTCTCTTTTTTTCAGTGTTGTCAATTAATTTGGATCATTACATCAATATTCTCAGATTGTTTTCAGTGCTGAAGTTTGAAAAAATGCAGCCTTTAAAAAAAAAAATGGGATGGGTCTCTCTGACATTGGGTTACACATGTATGTATTCCTTGATGAAACATTAACAGATCATTGGAATGGTAGAGGTGGACCAATTTCATGGCCACCATGTTTTTCAGATGTCGTACTACTCGACTTTGTTTTTCAGTGGTATCTGAAGAACAGAGTTTATGCTGCAAAGATTCTCAGTATTAAAGAATTTAATAAACCTAATCATCGCAGAAACAGCTAATGTGACTCCACAAATGCTTAATAAAAATCTGGAGGGAAATGCAAAACAGACATGATATTCTCTGAGCAATTAATGGTTCACATGTTGAAATGTATCAATGTAAAACTCTTTGTAGTGCTAAATAAAATTCAGTCTTTTTCCCCTATCTCTTATTCTGTATTATCCAAAGCATATCTTTATCTGGTCAATAAGTTATGGACAACCTATATATTGGTTTTTCAGATTAGCTCTTATATTTGGAATTTTCAAGACCCAGCATTGATAATCAGGGTTTCCTATAAGAATTATCATATTTGATACATTTATATACACACAGATGTACCAAATTTTCTCAACTATTCCTCTCCTCGTGTATTTTTCCCCATAGTCATACAAGGCTCTAAAAGTTTCTTAAATTTTCATGTAATTAACCACTTCCACAAGGCATTCAGAAAGTGAGCTCCCTTAAATTTTGAAATGGATTTATCCATGTAGTGAAAGTTTTTGACTTAAAAATTAATTTATAGATTTTGAGTGTATAGGATCTGATTGATGAAGCAATAACAGTGAAGAGCTTCAAGAAAACAGGAATGTTTAATGCTCTTGATGGCTCTTAAGATCACTGCATGTAAGAAGACAGGTTGAACATTGATGAAGAGGAGGACAACCAGGGCTGTGGAGTTATGGAATCGGAATCAAAGTTAAGCAGATTTGGGGGTAAAATGAGTCAGAACTGGAGTCTCTAAAAACATGTCGACTCAGACTCCAGATTTTGTTGGACAGTTTGAATTTGAAATAAAATTAAAGTGAATTGAAAAGCAATTTAATGACAAATTGAGGTATTATTTTTATTTGTGCATTATATTTTCTTTTCTATTTTATTGACAAATTAATAAATAAATATAAAGGAGGAGGATGGGACATTTGCCATTATTGATTAAACTGATTCATTTAGTAACAAATCTCATTGATAAATTTAGGTAAGCAGTAATAACAGCAAGAACTCCCAAAATTGATGCCATTCTTAGGAAGTGATCAGGAAAAGGGGCAAGTATTAATCAAGTAATGCGATGAGGAAGGATACATATTTCATGATGTAGAGGTCATTAGAATTAAGAGCTTTTTTAGAAGATATAGATACAACCCTATGTTTCACTAACAGAAAGACTGTGCTTGTAGAATTGGAAACTCTTCTTTGTACACCGTATACAGCCACAAAAAAGCTACAGTCTGAAGAATTAAAAGAAGGCGAGAATGGAAGAATGTGGCGTTTGTTCTTTCTGAAATGGAGGGTTTATTGCAGGAGGAATTATTTCTTCAATGAGGAAAAGAGAAACTAGTTTAATAGACAACGAGATCTTGTTGGATTCAACATATGTTTATCCAAAACACAATTTTGTTGGATGTCAAAATTAAGAATGTTTAATTTAAGAAGGCAATAAAAGCCATCTATGAACTTTCATTAAGAATGAAATTATTTTCAGGACAATTGGAGTATTTAGATCAAGACAGTCAAACTGCAGACATTACAATTGAGTCCCTATCATCCTCTTCCAGTGATTAATTAGATTTTGAGAAATATTTAAATAATATTGGAGTGGCTAAGGCAAAGCGAATGAAAATAAAGAACCAAGAGTCTTTAGATATAAAATGAAAAATCAGCAAGTTTCTACGTAGCCTTTGAAGAAAAAGAGAAATATGATTGCACTTGCAAGACACCTCTTTTAGAACTTCTAAAAATCTGAATCCTGAAAAAGTCTCATCTTGAAAGTTAAAAGTAGCCCTAACAGTAACAGCTCTTTCTCCTACTCAAGTCAATGTGGGAAGTCTCTTCTCTGCTTTAAAGTTTATCAAATCAGATCTATGGTCCTCTAACAAAGATCTTGCCGAAGCTATACTGTTTCTTAGAAATTACTAATTCCGGTTTTTCCATTTCATAATAAATGATAATTAATATAAATAATTTGCTATGCCGTCTTTTTTTTTTTTTTTTTTTTTTTTTCTGTAGCATCTACTACTTCTTTTACATTAAAAAATAAGCTGATATGTTTAATATATGTGAGGGAGTCAGAGTTGGAGTCTTTAAAATTCTCGGAGTCTGTCATCTTCCCTACCGACTTCACAGCTCTGATGACAACGGTGATGATGACAGTGACTTGTAAGCTGTAGCAGATGACTAAGACAGCAGTTTCAGCCATGGAACCAAGGAGCCATTTTATTTTATTTATAAAATAAAATGTGAGACCTGAGTTCTTTGTTAAAATTTTTATAGCTGATCCGTGGCTATAAGATATTGATATAAATCATTCTAAAAAAAGAGGGGAAAAGTAAATAAAAATTTAGTACCTTTTGTCAGTACTTTTTAATATTTTTCCTTGTGTAAGTTCTATGATCACTCTGATAATAATGTTAAGGATATAAGTAACATCTCTCCGTCATGTATATATTGCTGAATATTAAATTTTATCATATTTTATAAAATTTGTGCTGGCAATTTCATTTAAATTCAAGTTATTTTAATATTTTATATAAATGTGCAAGGATAACAAAAAATAAGTAAAAACTTATAATTCCTGATTTTAATTTGTGCATCTTCCCTTTCAAATGTTTGTAATAATTTTTCTGGACTGCATCTTTCTGCTCCATGCTTACTTATGTAATTCTGCATTCTAATAGCTCTACCCAATCATACATCCAGAATTTAAACAAAGAAATCAAATCTATAAATACACTGCTACTAATATATAGCCCTTTTTTCTAATTTGCCTTCCTGCTGGCAATGTGTCGCTTAGCCTCTGCCAGCTGTTCACCATTGTTCTGAAAATGTAAGCTGTACAAAATTGTGAGGTGCATAACACAGCCATGTATGATTATGTGTGAATCTATTTATGTATATTAAGGTTTGCTCTATTAATAAAATTGTGTTGAAATCAAGAGCCACTTCTGAAAGCTTTTCGTTTCCATTATGCACCTTATAAATCTATGCCATAAAGAATCATCTAGATACCTGCAGAATTTATATTACATATATATATATACACATACATACATATATATATATATATAGTTATTTGAATCTACCTTTATTTTCAGTCTGGTGTCCCTCGAACGGGGTACAGAGGTGTAGTTAGTTTTATGTACAAAGGCAGAAGAGTGTACCTGGCACCTCCGGCAGATTGGAAGGGCTATGATCCAACTTGGAGCTAGCAGTTTTTAATGTGTTTAAAGAAATCTCATATCATACAAAAATCTTTCAAGAAAAATGCCTGCATAATACATGTAAAAATTTAATATTGAAATTTGACATTTGGAAAGAGTGTTGTATAATTTTACATCAAAACTGAAGAAAACTGTTACATAGCAATTATGGGTTTTTATAAAATATATTCATCTTAAACTACCATAATCATATGATGCGTAATTTTTTATCTGTGAAAGAGCTGTTCATATTTAAAGGAATTAAACTGAAAAGGAGTAGAACTACATATCTTCCTAAATGTTGTGAGAGAATCTCCATTTTTTGTTGCTGTATGTGCATTTAATGTCAAATAAAGGTTTGCAAATAGTTCCTTTTTATATTCTGATCCATACATTAAATTGAATATCTTATGCAAATGATGATCAAGACCTTTGTTGTTTTAATTCTAATTCAGTTACTTGTTTTCACAGTTCCAGTTTATAAATTGAAGATATATAATTACGCTTATAACACTCATGCAAAATGTTTTTATATACTGCTAAAACAAAATCTTATTCAGAATTTTATTTCTCTTTGCTTTGGCATTGTATGTTTATGTGTTGCAAAATATTGTCTGTTTAATAATTTATTATATTTGGTAACTGTAAGTCATTTTGTACTGTATATGTGTAACATAAATATTTTACAACAAAGTATATTAAAATCTTAAACAAAAGCTTTTGGGGGGGCACTGGATAAGAGGCAGAAATTTTTTTTCATAGGAATCACTCAAATGTTTTATAATAATTTAATAGTAAAATATTTTAACATATGTTATAAGTAATGGAACAATCAATCTATTTGTACCCTTCTGGATTGTGTTCTATATTAAATACTAATAACCTTTTTGCTCCCTACCTATTAACGAAGAATTAATTAATAATTATATATTGTACTGTATTTTATTTTTAATTTTGTTCTTTTTCCCTTTTTTAAAGAAATTATAAATATTTTCAAATTTTTTTAAATTACCTAGTCTAAATTCCATG